ACCCAGGGTGAGGCTCAGCCATTGCACGCTGGTTGTGCTGACCCCTGCGAATTCCCCAAATGTGGGAATCTCGACTGCATAATTTCTGGTAGTGGGGGACTGCGTTCGCGCTCTCCCCTGATAATCTGTTCAAGATAATGAAGACAATGCTAAATAGTAGTGATGGTGAGATGAAGCCTCATGAGGCATTGAACCGTTTGGCTTCAATTGTTTCAACGATCCCCACAGTTCATGAGGCTTCATGTGAACATGTCACCACCTACTGGTGGAGTTTGTAATAAAATCTGTGATTTTTTTTGCAATTGTTTTTTTTTTTTTTTTTCCCTTTTAAGTTCCCTTGAAATTGTTAATGGTTGGCGTGTTTTTTTTTTTAAGTGTAAAATTTTTTAGAACAATCATTTAAGGTGCACAGTTTTTCTGCCATTTTAGTGAAATAAACTCAAGCAGACAGAGAAAGTGTTTGTGCAAATTGGGCAATGATGAACAAAATGAAAGGTGTTAGTCATTTTTATTCAAACATGATAGTTTTTCCAAGTTTTTTGGTTGTAATCAGGTTGGAAGTTGTGTTCAACCAATCTTTTTACTAAAACGACCTAATTTTCCCAATCTATATTTTTGCTCTGGCAAAACAATGCAAATTAGTCTCATCAGCCAAAATAATTCAGTTTAATCGCAACTTTCAAAAGAGAGAGACAGGTCTTGAACCATCAACCTCTAGCATGAGACTTCCCCTTACAGAGGACGCCACTCATGTAGATGGTCTGATCTGGGAGAAAATACTTCTTAACACTGACGTATTAACCCTGGCTTTGTCTGGTGGTTTGCTCAGATTCTGATCATTACATTGTTTATTCAAACCAAATTAGCTTTAAGCAACTAGATTGGTGGGAAAAACAACCAATCTATTCTTAGAATCTATCCAAACTTTATCCAGCTAACAGCAGCTCTCCTCAAAACTCCCACATCCTGACTGAACACTGAGACTGTTTAGATGCCTGTCAAAATTCTTGCGCTTCCCGAACCACTTACCAAACCGGTCACGTGGTATCACGGTAACGAGGCCTCGGACGTCATCAATTTTGGCCCCGCCTCTAAATGAATCACGCCTCGACACGCGCTTCGGGGAAACGCCCCCTCCATTACTCGACACACGCCTCGAAGCCTCGGCTCGTCTCATAACATCACTACTAAATAGGAAAAACAATTCTAGAACATTCAATCAGTCATTGATGTAACAAATTGCTCCATGCTTATATTATGATGTAAACATAGAGAAAATAATGTAGGAATCGAAGAGAAGCAGTCAGAAACTCTGAAAAGCTTCAGTTTTCATTCTTTTTCTGCTTTGTGTGTCAACTATCATGGTTGCTAAGCAACAAAGCATACAGCGGTAAAACCCGCCGAAGGGTAGACCTGTTCGAATTCACAGCCAAAACACTTCCGGTCTCCTTATTTCCATGGACTTCGTAGGATCAAGTCTAGGTAGACCGCGTCCTTGGAGGATGCAGCCCAGGATTTGGAACAGAGCCTTTGTCCGGCCTCGGTCTTGTGTTCTTCTTAATTGGAACAGTGCTGGGCTGAGGCTGATGATGGTTCACGAGAACACACAAGTACGCAGATTGACAAATGGCCAAAGTGGAATATCTGTTTTTATTAGCTTAATATCTCCAAATACAAATATATATATGTATTAAATAGGTTCTTGGAGCAGGGAGATGGAGTAGTGACTTGCTCTCTCTCTTCCACACATTGGTCTGATATAGCCGTACTTCCAGGAATGATGCACTTCCGTCTTTCATGTTCAATGATGAGTTTTAAGGGAGTCAATTATACGTAGTTTATCAATTGGTCATTTTCTTGATTAACTTCATTCAAGATGCTCTGGAATAAGCCATGGAGTGAAGACATCTGTAGCTTCGTTTTTGCAGAAAAATATTATGGAATGTTGCCCTTTGGTGAAAACTAAATGTATGAAATCTTTACTTTTTGAGGAAAACACCTGGCTGATGCAGTGCACTTGCAATAGTTCCTTTCATTTATGCCTTCTCAGAAATAACTTAATTTTAAGAAACTGACTTTTTAAAAATGAAATACTCAAATTAACCTAAGAAAGAACCTGGCTGTATTATTCTACAGTACATGGTTTCAAATTGAAATAATAACACAGCCTGTTTGACACAGTCGTTATCGCTCCCACTCCATATTGACTGTTTTTGTTGTATTTTTGTTGTTTTATTAATGGATGGATTTATGTTGACTCTTTGGGGTAAGGGGAGAG